AATTGCTGAGAACACAAAATTGTAATGTTATCATTGAAAAGTGAGTATTTGTTTTCTTTTTAAAAAGATCTTATTATTTTTTAATTTTGTACATCTATGTGTGAGTATGTGCGTGTATGTGTGTGTGTGCATATGTGCGTGTATGTCCACTGAAGCCAGAAAAAGGTGATGAAAGCCCTGGAGCTGGAGTGCCCTGCCAGACACTGATGCTGGGAACTGGACTTGCTCTTAACCCCAGAACCACCTCTCCAGCTTTACTTTCTTTTTTTTTTTTTTTTTAAATATTTATTTATTATGTATACAATATTCTGTCTGTGTGTATGTCTGCAGGCCAGAAGAGGGCGCCAGACATCATTACAGATGGTTGTGAGCCACCATGTGGTTGCTGGGAATTGAACTCAGGACCTTTGAAAGAGCAGGCAATGCTCTTAACCACTGAGCCATCTCTCCAGCCCCCTCCAGCTTTACTTTCTATAGTGACTGAAATCTCTTCTGCAGTTTTTATTCAGTTGTTTGTATTTCTTTTTTACATTATGTGTATCAGTCATAGTGGAGCTAAGTATATGTTAAAGACTTTACAAAACTTACTTTCTAATCTGACATTCAGTTACTGACTTCATTCACATCTCCTAATAACTTATTTATGTAGTCCTGTCTTTCCTGGAACTAACTATGTAGACCAGACTGACCTCAAATTCCAAGATCCTTCAGCCTCTGCTTCCAAGGTGCTGAAATTAAAACACATGTGTTATCCAGACCTAGCTCATGACAAAAATATGTTTAGACAGGGTTCTTGACTCAGTCTCAGATCACTGGGATCATAGGTATGGGTCACCATACCCAGCTTAAATTTAAGATCAAAGTGATTTTTGAATTGTTTATTCTAAAGCCATGTAATGTTCTGCCTTCATCAAACTGTGCTCCTAAACAGCAGGTACTATACACTCTGAAATGTCCTTCTGAGGTTTCTTTTATCCTTTTGGAGACCATTTTCTGTAACCTTTGAAGCTGGAATTCATATATTGTCTCCTCCATGAAAAGTTAATTTTGCAATCACAAGTATTACATAGAACATATTGGCACACTAAAGCACTACCCTTGCTCTATTAAAAATGAAGGTGCATATAAACCTGGTGTGATCTATAAGACATGAGATGGGACATGTGTCTCTAAGGTTTGGGAACAGGACTGAGTTCCAGGAACTAGAGAGGATCACCTCATCTCTAGTGACACACGAGAAAGTAACCTGTTAGATAAGCCAAGCAAGTAATCTTTCTAGAGAGAATCCTATCTTTCCAAATTCAAAGATCTTCTGTTAGAGGACCTGGAAGATGGTTCTGTTGGTAAAGTGCTTGTTGTACAAGTATGAGGACCTGAGTTTTGATTCCCAACAAAAGCTAGGTGTGGCAGAAAACACCTATCAGCCCAGGGATGGAAAGGCAAAGACAGGAGGATCTCCTGGGCTTCTGGCTAGTCAATCTAACCAATCCAACAGCGTGAGGTTAGTGAGAGGCTATTTCAAAAGCAAATGTGAAGCGCAATAGAGGAAGACACCGACATGAACCTCATACCTTCAGACACACACACATGAACTGCACACTCATGGGATCTTCTACTCTAAAGAAAGAGGATGTAGACGGAGAAGGGAATGTGAAAAATATTGCCAAGGAACAAAGTGAGCAAGCAGGGGATAGGATGATTGTAGGCAGAAGGGGGGGGGATTACTGTTCTGTGGTAATCAATTTGAAATAAAAGCACAGAGGAGGCTGAGGCGGAGAACTGCTGTGAGGTTACTAAGCTAATCTGGGCTACACTGTAAACTAGAGCAGACAGAAAGAGCTTAGTAAGTTTATGATAAATGTGAGATAAGCTGGCAGGGCCACCTGTAAGGGACTTTCTTGATCATATTATTTGAAGTAGGATGGAACCTTCTAGTGGTAGTCAGACAAAAGAAGGCCCAAAGGAAAAGTCTTGGGTTTTGCCTGCTTGTCTTCCATCATGGTATCCAGTTATCTCCCTGTTCTAGGCTGTTGTCCAGTTAAGCTTCCCTGTTGCTACCATTGCTTGTGACATCAGAATCCAGCTTCTAGTCTTCCAATGTGGACTGAAGACCAGTGGCTCTCAAGGAATGCTTCAGGCATTCAGAACCAGAGTGGAACTGTTTGAGACTGCATGTAGCCTTGTGGACTGTACGGCTACTCCGTGTGGATACCTATATTGCATCACTAAGTCAACTTAGAAAACTCCCTTTTCATCTATGTTCACTCTGTTAGCGCTGTTCTTCTGGAGAACCCTGGCTCATGCAGACATCTTTCCAACTTCATTTCTTTTTCCTAGGTGCTTTCACTCTTGAATTTAAAAGCTTTATGCTATCATTTTCATAGTATCAGGACCTATAAATTAGTATTTTTTTTGGATTTACCTTTCTTACTAATACTTCCAGACTATTTAAATCAAATGCTTTTAATTTTGTGAACTAATTTTTCTTGTGATAAACTATAATGGAATTATCAAATGTTTAATTAAAATATCAAAATTTAAATAGACTTATTGAGAGGTTGATAAAGGCAGCTGGAATATAAAAACTGTCACCATCTTGTCATTGAAATTTCATTCCTCTAGTTTATAACATGCATGCCATCCATTCATTCAGCCAGTACTCACTCAGCACCTATTATGTACCACGCATGTTCTATATGCTGAGGACACCAGTGAATAAGCAGGGTTCCTGCTTTTCTGAAATTTAGATTCTAATACTGTTAGACAATATTAGTAACAGACAATATTGATTTGGCCAGCCTGCTTGCTGAGACAGTTCTAAGCACTGTACAGTTATGTAATCACCATAGCAAGAGAAAGAATGACCCCTACTTTCGGACAAGGGATGGAGGGCATGAAAGGGAAAATAATTTGCCCAACTGTACACAGCTAGGGTGGGCAGAACTGGAGTTGAAGCCAGAAGAGTCATATAATTGGTCTCAATATTGTGGCTCAGACCAAAAAGATGAAGGTGTATAGGTAATGAAACAAACAGGAAACCTGCTGGTGTTCAGTATTGCGGAAGTACAGAACTGGGTACTATAAATTTATGCATGGGAGGAGTGGGGGCACAGTATGCATGCCAAGGGAAACCCCGCTGAGAAAGCAGCGGTCAGCAAAGACCTGGAAAAATGGCATTACAGCTGTCATGGGGCAGAGGTGAAGAACACAGTGCAAGATTTTAACAAACACAAGGATGCAGACCTGAACTCAGGAGGCTGAGGCAGGAGGACAGTCAGTGCAGAACACATAGAACTTAGGTTCAAAGTCAGCCTGGCCTACATAGCAAGACCTTACCTCAAAACTCAAAATAAACACTGGGACCCTGCCTTGCTCTGAGAAACAGAAATGTCCAGTTGAGTGTATCTAGAGAGTAGTGTACCCATGACTGTCTGAAGCCAGGAAGGTAGGCAGGAGATAGACCTGCTCAAAGCATCAAGTAAAGATAAGTGGCTGTTTTATCCTAAGTGCCCAAAACACGATCGTTCTGTGCAAAACCACAGGAAAGTTCACTTGGAGGTAATTACAATCCAAGAGGAAAATGACAGTGGCCTGAATGAGCGTGGCTACAGGGAAATGAACGTCAGGATAATTTTCACACTACTGGATAAGAATGACAAGTGGGCAGGATGTAAAGAGTCAAGGAAGTGGATGTTGAACTTCAGGTTTGAGCCGCTAATATGATGCAGTGTCCTTATGCTGTGTGAGGCTGAGGGAGGTATATGGCTTCTCTAAGAAAAAAGAAGCCTTTCACCGACTGCTTCACAGGGGAGGGGGGAGGCTGTCTTGTCCAATTCTATTTCTTTATTTAAAAGTTCCAAAGGAAAGATTGGAGGGCACCGAAATGTCCAGTTTGGGGAGAGCCTTCCACTTGGGACAAACTAGAGAACTGAATCCGAATTTATTTATTGAGCATCTACCGTCTCCCAAGATCTCAATGATGGGACACCAAGACAACGCTGGGAAGCCATCTTAATTCCACCTCACGCTCCTCCTGGCTATTAGGCCCACTGTTCTCTAAATGCTCACTGTCGTCAACGCTCATGGCATGTCCCGTTACAGTACACCAATTAATGCATCTCTCTCTCTCTCTCTCTCTCTCTCTCTCTCTCTCTCTCTACATATATATATATACACATATTTAACAAGCAATGCGACTATAACCCCTATCTATCATTTTTATCTTAACAAGCAATGCAACTATAACTCCTGCCTATCTATCATCTATCTATCTATCTATCTATCTATCTAAACAAACAATGCGACTATAAGCCCTGCCTATTTATCTATCTACCTACCTACCTATCATCTTTATCTTAACAAGCAATGAGACTATAACCCCTGCCTATCTATCTATCTATCTATCTATCTGTCTGTCTGTCTGTCTGTCTATCTATCTATCTATCATCTTTATCTTAACAAGCAGTGCGACTGTAAGCCTGCCTCCAAGGCTAATGGTTTCGCAGGGAGGTACCTTTGGAAAGCTCGTGGCTGCCCCCGTACTTATTTGCGCCTTCTTCATGTCCACTTAAGTGACAACTCTAGTCCCTAGGCTGCGGGGTCTACTGAGGCAGGAGCCGTTGGGCCAGCTGGCGCGCTCTCCTCAGCTCTCACGCCTGCGAGACGTGGACCGATCCCCGGCGCCTTCCATCCTTGCAGCACCGCGGCGAAGGAGTCTGGGAGGGGGTCGGGAAAGGAAAAGACGCGAGAGAGATTAAGTAATTGGCTCTCAAAGACACAACAGGACTTTTACGTCCGGCTCCGAAGCGCAGCTTTCAAACGCCCGCCCCCTGAGCCGCCTTGGCTCCGCCCCTCAACGACGTCACACAAACCTCCTCCCGGGTCTCCGCAGATTGGTCGGGGCCTCAGCCTTTGATAAACGGTTAAAAACACTCGACATTTGCTTCCGGATGTGGAGTGCGAGCTTCCGACGCAGCCGTTGGAGGCGCCAAGATTTTGCTTCCGGGTCTTACTGAGCCCCAGGCGTAGAGCCGGAAGCCTCGCATTCTGCTTCCGGTCTTGGGCTGGCGTCTCCGGCGCGGAGGTTTCTGGGAGCCTGGAGTTGCAATGGTTCGTGGGTGAACATCGGAGGGTGCTGCGTCGGTCCCCGCCAAGGTAAGCCGCTGGGGCAGGGAGGTCTGTGGTCCTTGTGCGCCGGCAAGCCGGGATCGCCGTGACGACGGCCGCGGTGCCGCCCGCGGTGCCTGGGTGGCGGGCGGGAGCTGCGGCCGAGCCCAGAGCGGTCACCGGCCGGAGGGCGGGACGGGGCTTTCTGAGCGTGCTGCCTTAGCTCACGGAGGCCCAGTAACCCCGAGGTTAGGCTGGAATTTTTAGTTGACAGCTCAAAACTGAAAGTGCCACAGGATTCTCTTGCTGCTGCAGCGACGCAGTCTCATGTAGCCTAGACTAACTTCGAACTCCTGATTCTCCTGTTTTCACCTCCTAAGCTCCTGGGATCACAGGAGTACGCATCACACCCAGTTCAGGATGGGTTCTTGGTGTTTCTCGATTTTCTGAGCATTGCTTAAGTTACAGCGTACCAGCGTACCAACTGTTGTAGAAGAAAATTGGATCAGCAGCATTGTTGGGTAGTGTTACCTATGTAAATGTCATTGAGTTTTAAACAAACTGTAAGACACTCAAGTTTATCAGTGACTTTAAAGGAATTATGGTGTTTTGTTTTGGATTTTCTTTCTTTTGGTCTATTTGCTATTTTTCGGGCCTTCTCACAATGCAAATCTTGGCTAGACTTGGTGGTACACACCTTTAATTCCAGCACTCCTGAGGCAGAGTTGGGTAGATCTCTGGAGGGTTCTCGAGCAGCCTGTTGTACATAGTTAGTTCCAGGTCAGCCAGAGCTACATAGTGAGATCCCATCTCAAAACAAACAACTACAAAACCTCAAGAACCTAGTTCTAGTAGGAAAACAGCAATTTTTAAGTCGTTTATTTTAAAAGCCACATGACACTATTGTACAAGATCTGCCGTGTGTCAGAATTCTCATAATGATACTATAGAAATGTCAGCATTCCTGAGATGACAGAAGCAAGGTAGGAGCCTTGCCCAAGGCTACCCAGCTAGAACAGAAACAAACTCAGATCTCACAGGAGTTGTTTATACTGAATAACAGCTGCCTGGCAGAACGTGACTAGTTAGAATTCGAGTTTCCTAATTCTGCATTTGTAGTGATTTGTGTTGAAGCAAACTGCTTAAGCAATTTTGGGGAGAGTTTTGAGATTTTTCTCAAGGATAGTAATTTATGAATGATCTCTAAAACGAGAGTTCTACAGAATATAACATAAACTCCCTTTTGTCAGAGAATAAAAGATGACAACAGCAGCCAGACCGACTTTTGAACCTGCCAGAGGTGGAAGAGGAAAAGGAGAAGGGGATTTGAGCCAGCTCTCAAAGCAATATTCAAGCAGAGACCTTCCCTCCCATACAAAGATAAAATACAGGTAATAACATTTATCTTGTTCACGGAATGACTTATGATTACGTCTAGATTATTGTATTTAAATTACCTATCTTTAAAGAAATGGAATTCAAAGAAGTTTGCAATAAAATTATGCAGTGTAGTTTTCAAGTGTTAGCAGATGAAGTGATCATTCATGACGAGCCCCTCAGAAGACTGGGCTGTACTGAATATGGGTGTGTTCTGTGACTGCCCCTGAGCTGATCAATGGTTTACATTTCAAGTAGTCTCCAGCCATATTGTCGGGAAATGTGTGCTTCAGTTTGTTCTTTTGTTGGTACTGACAACATCACAAGTGTCTCCAAATAACCTTCAGATTAAAATATTATCTAGTCCTCTTCCATTTTGTGCTTGAGACACAGTTGCATTCTGAGTTGTCTTAAATTGCTGTGGCCATATAGATTCTTTTCCTTGACAAGTGAGAATACCATTTTTAACCCAGTTCTCTTTCCACTTAAGACAAACTACACAAGATGCTCCTGAAGAGGTTCGCAACCGTGACTTTAGGAGAGAATTGGAGGAGAGAGAGAGAGCTGCTGCTAGGGAAAAAAATAGGGACCGTCCGACCCGAGGTACCTACCCTGTCACAAGTGTTGTTTTCAAAATTGTGTGGTGGAAATGGTTTGTTGTATCTTGGTAATTGGAAATAACAGTTTTGTGCACTGTACCTCTTTGATACATGATTAGAGATGAGAGCCAGGCAGTGGTGGCGCACGCCTTCAATCTCAGCACTAGGGAGGCAGAGGCAGGCGGATCTCTGTGAGTTCGAGGCCAGCCTCATCTACAGAGCTAGTTCCGGGACAGGATCCAAAGCTACAGAGAAACCCTGTCTCAAAAAACCAGGAAAAAAAAAATGATTAGCAATGATAATGAGGTTCATTCTAGTCGCATCTTCTCATGCTTGGTACTAGAAGAAATGGTGACCTGGAGGTATGTAAAAAGCTGTCGTCTCTGTTCCTGTCATTAGACTTTGGCTTGGACTTTCTAGCAGCTGGAACCCAGGCCTTCTGTTAGAGCTGTCCTGTTTTATTTGCTACCTCATGTAATCGGAGAGTAATGAGAGAAGCGTCAGTTACCCTTCTTGTGTTTCTGGTGTGTGTGAACATTGGCTAAATTTCCTGAGATGCCATGATCCTTATAACTCACTAATTCATTTAATGTTTACCAGCAAATATTTATCCAAGGCTTACTTGCCAATCACTGGGTGATTCCCCGCGGTCACTGTGCTTTGTGTGCATCCTTTTTGTTTTAAAATACAGTACTAGTTTCATTAACTAAATGTTTGTTTTCTTCAGAACATACAACTTCCTCTTCCGTGTCCAAGAAGCCCCGCTTAGACCAGATCCCCGCTGCCAACCTTGATGCCGATGACCCTCTCACGGATGTATGTGGTGGTGCTTTGGGGTTCTGTTTGGTTTGGTTTGGTTTTTGTGTTTTTGTTTGTTTGTTTGTTTGTTTTTGCCTCCTAAGTGCTGGAAATGGACCACTGCCACTGGTCCTAGTTCTTGAAAACTTTTTTAATATTTTGACATTGTGAAGTGATCTATGCTTGCTTTTACCTAATGTTACCGACATATATTGTTGACCTTGACTTTAAACTTAGTAATTGTCCAAAGTATTCTGTGTCAAAGACTTTTACTACAGGTCTAGTTTGGAGAGTTGCATGAAAGCAGTCTGTGAGAGAGGGTGTGCCCACCTGGGACTGAATTGAGTTGTGGCGAAGGTTAAGCTGCCTTGCTGTAACGCACAGGACTCTCAGAGACTGAGTGCCCTAGGAGCAGCACCTTTGACCTTTCTACCCAGTCGATATGATGCCCTTTTCAGACACATAATGCCCGTGGGCCTCTTAGTGAACAGGGAGCGTGAACATTCAGTGGGACCCTGCAGCCTTTTTATGTTAAATGTAGCTCAGGCTGGCCTGGTAATGACAGCCTTCCAGTCTCATGCTTCAACCTCCTAAGTGCTGGGTTTACAAATTTCGTCTACTACACCTAACTCCCCACTTCACTTGGCCATTTTCTATGTAACTGAACATAATGTGAGTGACCTTTCTTAAGTCTTATCTAATTGCATACATATGTCAGCAATCATATTATTATAATTTATGAGTTATTCTTATAAATAAGAAGCCTTACATTAAGTGAAATTATGTTATTCATTCAAAATATTTTCTTTTGGAGTTTGAGCACCCTTATGCTGACTTAGTCATTTTGTGCTACGTGAACTCTTTTAAGGTGAGACACTGTACAATGTACTGTGTTTCATTCTGAAGCATTACTTGTTTTGGAATGTTTCCATATGAAAATCCTTTTTTGCCTGGTGGTGGTGGCACACACCTTTAATCCTAGCACTCAGGAGGCAGAGGCATGCAGATCTCTATGAGTTTAAGGTCAGCCTGGTCTACAAAGCAAGTTCCAAGACAGCTGTCGCACAGAGAAACCCTGTCTTGACACCACCCCCCAAAAAATTCTTTTTGACCATCTAAATATGAAAGGTATTTTATCAAAGGTTGCCATTTTAGTTAGTATTTATAATTTTTTGTCAGGTTTTATCTCTGTTTTATTGGTTGTTGGTTTTACTATGATATTTCGGTGCGTCCGCTTTCTGTGAGAAGGTGAATGATGTGTCCCGGGCCTTGCTTTGTCACAGGAGGACGATGAGGATTTTGAAGAGGAGAGCGATGATGATGACACTGCGGCTCTTCTGGCAGAGCTGGAGAAAATCAAGAAGGAAAGAGCTGAGGAGCAGGCCAGGAAGGTAGTGCTTGACTCTCAGTTTCTCCGTCCACGTCCTAAACCAGAACCTTTAAACTCTGCTGCTGTCGTTTATTAGAGAGCAGCGGGTCTAAATATTGTAACACCTATGGATCTGTCTTTCTAAAATGACATTCTAGGTCCCTAATTATGTTGACAGCTCCTTTCAGATGGTTTACAAATGAGTAATGTTCAACTTTTAACAAACAAGGGTGCTTTAGTCTTCTAATTAGATGTAAGATTGTCTGAATCACTTGTTCCCAACCTTCCTAATGCTGCCACCCTTTACTACAGTTCCTCATGTTACAGTGACCCCAACCATTACATTATTTCATTGTTACTTCATAACTGTAATGTTGCTGCTGTTAGGAATAGTAATGTTAGCATCCTCGTGTGGCTGGTCACCCGGCTGTGCCACAGCGGCTCTATTGCGATCACAGCCCAGATGTGGTCACAATGCCTATAAATAAGGTGCCCATGTTCCCAAAAATCTAACCTCAAGCCCAGGGGAGGGAGTGTGGATTTGATGCACAGGCTGTCTGACCATTAGGCCACAAAGTAGGGAAGGGGTTGCCTTTTGTTCCCAGTGCTCTGTGTTAACTGTAAGTTTGTGTACGTTGTATGCTTACTCCTGGTTTTGTGACATCTTTAGAAAACATCTGTTTTTATCTGTGATTTATTTTGCTAGATTTGAGAATAACTTTCAAGCGTCAGGTTTCTCATTCCCTGATGGGGAACTGAGGGTTGAGCTCAGGTTGCCAGGCTTGTGACAAGCGCCTTCACTGCTGAGTCATCTCAGTGGTTCCCTCCCCACCCCAATAAGCATGTGGCTTTTAGAAAGCTTTCTGGTCTTCATTGTAATAAATCTTGACTTTAAGGTTTCTGCGGTGACCTAAAAGATTTTCCCCACTAGTGACATTCGCTCACCTGCCAGTTACTTCCTGGTACAAGTGAAACCTGTCGTTCACATTTGCATATTAAAGTGGAGTACCAGGAAGCTGTGTGGAGCACTAGGTTCACTAGAGTGACTTGGAGAGTCTTCTTCTTACCTGTTAGGTCGTCTGGTTCTGTCCCCAAAGCACAGCAGAGTAGTTTAAGTTATCTTAACAGATAGCTACGAAAGTTACAGGTAAGAATTTTAGAAAATTTGCATTTCTGTTTCTTAAAATAGGGTGATCTGAATCTGAAGAAAATAATGCTAAAATAAAAGTGAGAAAAATAATCTAGATATGGTGGCTCATACCTGTAGTCCCAACACTCAAGTGGCTAAGGTAGGAAAATCACAAGTTGAAGACCAAACTCAGCAAGTAATGAAAGCTTGTGTCTTTAAAACAAAATGGAGCGTGGGTGAGATGGCTCAGCAGGAACCCACGTGCTGAGAAAACAGATTCCTGCAAGTTTTCTCCTGACCACCATTGCATTATGGTGCCCATATACATGCATGCACGTTAAATAAATATGTAAATGCTTTCTAAAAAATAGTTGTAACAAGAAAATATATAAAGGTATAATAGATCACTAACAGTAAAGCATAAGAACAAAAGGTGTTTTATGTAAACTAGTAGATGTACATGTTATGTTTTGCATGATACTTTGTCTTGTCTTAGGAATTACTCCTCAATAATCAGTTCTAGAGATGAAAGCTTATACTGTTAATAATGTAAAATTAAATTCAAACTTAAATTAACATTAAGTATATTGTCTGTAGCGCTTTATAAAGGGAGGTGATAGCCTTGCTAAACTGTTTTTTGATAGTATGTTCTTAAATTATAAATATTAATATTCTCTTAAACTTAGTCTGAATGTAACTAAATAAAACATTTACATCTGCATCTCAGTTTCTCATAAGTTAGAGAGACTAATGACTGTTGGCAAGATTGAGATATTTATAATAAAAATTGCATAGTATTTACTTTTTATAAATAAGATTTTTCTGGTGTTTATCAAGAATCAAAGAGGAGTGAGTCAGTTGGTAAAGTACTTTCCTACCATGTACCAAGCCCTGGGTCCCATTCCTAACACCAAGAAGCTGGGCATGGGTGTGTACACCTGTCCTGCACTCAGGAGGTGGATCACAAGGTCAAGGTCGTCCTTCTCTACCTAGCAAGTTCCAGATCAGCTTGGGCTACAGGATGGATAACCTGTCTCCAAAAAGAGACAGGAAGGAAGGAGAAAGAAAACTGTCTTCTCTCCCTGTATGGTCTGACAGATGTTCATCTGTGAACTAACCTAAGACAGCTGACCTGGAGTTAGTAACTGTGTCTTCCTCCATCATTGGCAGGAACAAGAACAAAAAGCAGAAGAAGAGAGAATTCGCATGGAAAATATTCTGAGTGGAAACCCTCTCCTTAATCTCACTGGCCCGTCCCAGCCTCAGGCCAACTTCAAGGTTAAAAGAAGGTACTAAAAGTAGTGGGTTAGCCAGGTGGTTGGGACGCATGCGTTTAATCCAAACAGGAGGCAGAGGGAGGCAGATTTCTGTGAATTTGAGGCTAGCTAGCTTGGTCTACAGAGTGAGTTCCGGAACATCCAGGGCTGCACAAACTCCGTCTTAAAAAAACCATGGGGGATGGGGGTGGGGGGAGATAATGAGTTGAGCTACATGTATGGTCCATGATTTGTGTTATATAAGGCTTCTGAGACCCCCACTTCCTATTTCTAACCTCAGTCAGATTTTAGAATAATGGAAGAAGGAAAGGGGACAGGGTGGCATCTTTTTAATGCATACATAATAAGTCTTTGCTTTGACCTTAGCTATAAAGCCTGTATGTGAGATGGGAGTGGAAGGGTCCTCAAGACCACCCCTCCCAGTACAATTCTAAGATTCAGGGGGCTTGTCACAGCCATATTCTTGGTTGATATTGTAAGATATATCCAGATCATGCAATTGTGAATCTTCACAGGTATACATCCGGGTCATAAGTGGAAAGACATAGGCTTTCTGAACTCCTATTCCCTGTAAGAGGTCACCAAACAGTGAAATTGAAAGTTTAGACTCGATGCTCCAGATTATTGGGACTTGTCCTGCAGGAACTTGTACTGGGTGGAAGTCAAGTTAGTTGTGCACTGTAGGCACAGTGATGGTGAGGGATGAGGCAGGTCCAATGCTGTAGGCAGTGATGGTGAGGGATGAGGCAGGTCCAATGCTGTAGGCAGTGATGGTGAGGGATGAGGCAGGTCCAGTGCTGTAGGCAGTGATGGTGAGGGATGAGGCAGGTCCAGTGCTGTAGGCAGTGATGGTGAGGGATGAGGCAGGTCCAGTGCTGTAGGCAGTGATGGTGAGAGATGAGGCAGGTCCAGTGCTGGCCAAGGTCAAGCTTAGAGGCAGGCTCGTGAATGCCCTCTGTACTGTGTGCAGGAGGGCACTAGAGAGCTGAAGGGTGTATGATGTGATACAGATGAGGATGCATAGGGAAGTAGAGTGAGCACTTGCAGGAGCTATGGTGTGGGAGGAGGATATGTTCTGTGTTGGGATGAGGAGTCCTGTTGCCTTTCCTTCCTTCCTTCTCCCTCCCCCGCTGCTATCACAATGTTCCTTCTGTTCATGCACTGAGCTCCATCTTCCGAGCTCACTTCTCATCCCAGCACCGTGGTCCTTTTAAAGTCATAGTGATAGCTGCTTTTTTCTAAACGCGTTGGCTTCTTTACTTGATCACAGTGAAAGTGTGGTGACATAAAGCTAAACTTTAACAGATTCTTGACAACAGTACAGTCAAGGGCAGGTTTGCTGGCAACTAGCTGTTTATCAGAGACCAGGCTTCAAGCATTTGGCCTGCAGTTGCAAGACAGGAATGAGGAGGAGTGTGGCTTATGCCGAGCATGAGAAAGGAAACTTATTTCGGGCATCATAGATCTGGAGTGGTCTGTACTTCTCTAAATCCATCTATCCTGTGTGTTTCTACAGTTGGCTCAGGTTGGTAGTAATGCATCTGGCAGTTGTCAGCATGGGCAGAAGGAAGTGAGAATTGTTTTGGTACCTGGAGTGGTGCGCAGTAGAAGTTCATAGTAAATCCTTAATAATAGTATTTGAATTTAAATCCTAGGTTAAGCTTAGCCAGAGAGGAGTACAGCCAGGATACTGACATTAGTGTTGGTCTAGGGATACTGAATACTGCTGTGAGTGCTAGGGGACCGTGCACTGTTTCTTAGCAACACGGGGGCCAAAACTCTTCAGGAATGAGTTAAGAGGAAAAACACTATCAATTGTATATTAAATATGAAGCAATCTGGCTTATTCTTCCCTTTGTGGATGCAGGAGCAAACATCCCAATTACACTAAGCTGCTCAGCTTCTCATGTGCATTAGTGCACATAGTCTGTGCGCGTTTTCCTTGTGCAGGTAGTTTCTCCTGGTGAACATGCAGCATTACACACAAGCGCATTATGTAGACTGTGTCTTCTGCGTATTTGTGCGTGTCTTTGTCATGTGTAAGGGCTTAGGTTTTTTATGGGAAGAGCTGCTCTGTAGTTATACACTCTACTCCCATAGCACCAACCCATGGTTGGTGTGTTTACTGCTTTCTGAAATCCATCCACGTTCTACTCCGAGCATTTCAGCAGATATTTCTTCATTATTATTAGAGACCAGTCTGTGAATATTAGTTGTTATATTCCTTTCATTCCCGCTTTTGTTGCGTTATGATGTATGATCAGCATGATGGATATAGTTGATTATAAGTATATACAAAACCATACAAACACCAGTAAACAGATCACTTACTGTCTAGTGATGTCTGGGTCAGGACTGTGGTCCTGCCTCTTGCTTTTAGACCTGAAAAATATCACACCTTTCCCTGAGCACAGTATGTGTGTCTTCTTCCACCAGAGGAGTAGTGTGTGTTCTGAGTATGGGTGCCCTCCCCACACAGGCACGCTTGTTCATTTGCTGTCTGTGGCAGCTTGTTGGAGTGTCTGTGTTGATCCAGCTTTCCAGCCTCCGCGGTTTTCTTGTCTCCTGATGCAGTTGTAAGGGATTTATTTTCTTTTCTCCCCTTTAGGTGGGATGATGACGTCGTTTTTAAGAACTGTGCAAAAGGAATAGATGATCAGAAGAAAGACAAAAGATTTGTAAACGACACACTGCGATCTGAGTTTCACAAGAAGTTCATGGAGAAATATATTAAGTAGTACAGTTTTATGTGCTTAATTAAAGTCTGAAATGTTAAGGATCACTTTGACTTTGAGGGTTTTGTTCTTTCCAGTTTTAACTTTCTCAATTTCTTTCCCCTAATCTGATAACGGATTTAGGAATGGCTCTAACCAGTGTCCAGTCTCTTAAATGTTTCCGGTATCATTTTCTTTCTGATATGGAGAATAGGGAATCTGCTTGGAATAAATATTTTTAACTTAAGTAAACCATTGTCCCCAACTTTATGCTATAATTTGTACAGCTTATAAAAAGTTGCATAATTTCTTTTCAAAATGAAAGGTACCTTTGTATGTTGTTTGTATTGCATTAAAATTTCCCTTTATCTCGCATTGATTTGAGGTCCGTTGGTAGACGACAGCACTGTGGTTTGTAAATGTGGAGGGGAGTAAGGGGGGCTCCACTTCAGAGAACATGTCAGCATTAGTCACCTGGTGTGGTCAGACACGCCTGCCATGTCAGTCCTGCAAACTGATGTGCATTCCCAGGCAGTGCGTGTATTCATGTATGTCCTTCGGTGCTTGTCACTGAGATGAACAGTTTCACATCAGTACAGGGTGACTCTTTGAATGGCTTATTACTCTGGAATGTATTTCTGTGTGAAGCCAGAGGGAGAAATAATGGGGTAAAAGGCGTTATTTGAGATATAGCTTTAAATATGCCACTTTGATAGAAAATTGGGGACCACAAATTGAGTCTTTAACAATGGAAACTTTTTTTCAATGTTAATTTTGCTGTGTAGGTTCACTTCAAAACTGCATTCCTGTTCTCAGCTCTCAAGTACTGGGGTTTACAGTGTCAGCCACCAGGCGCAGCTCAGACTCTTCAGAAACAGTTGGCATGTCTCATTTTCTCTTGTCATTTAGTCATTTTATTTAAAAAAAAAAAACATTAATATGGGTGTTTGAGTTAATTTATTGATAATTTCACTCATTAGTTAGTAGGGTTTGTTGCTCTTGCAGAGGGCATTCAATACCTGTAACAACAATCTCAGGATCTCATACCCTCTTCTGGCCTGCATACCCTACACACAGGCACATACAGAAAAAGATACGAATTCATCCAGTGTAGAGTTGACACAGTTGTATGTTGCCTGAATTGATAATAAAGCTGGGAACGGAACTAGGTTTTTATCCCGCAACAGCATCCTTTGCCGTCTTTGTAAAGGGTCGGTCTCCTTTTCCCTGTTGGTAGTAAGGCTGTGGTTGTCTTCCTAGCCCTGTTCTTAGCTCCGGAACTGTTTTCATGTGAGCTCTTTTAGGAATTTCTCATCTCATTTTGCAGAATGCACTGTTCTCTCCTGGCCTGGGTCTCAGAGCACTATAAGGGGGAAGAAGGGTATCCGCCAGGTTTCCTCTCCCTCATCCATGCGTTCCCTTCTCACAAAGGAGGGAGGTGATAGAGGTGGATAGCTAATCAGAAGCAGTGGCTCGGAGCACACTGAGTGTGTGAGTGTCATAGCCTGGGGCAGGGTGGAGGAAGGTTCTTTGTCAGCACTCACAGCTTGGAAGTCTCCCAGCCCTGTGCCTCTTCCCAAAGGTTGTTAAATAAGTACTGGGGGCCGAGTCTCTCCTTAAATCATGACTTCTGAGAAGGGAAAAGTAAAGATGCCAGTGACAGTGACTGCCACAGGCCCTGTAGACACCCAGCTCCCATCCAGGCCGTTTCATGTCGCCTGGCTAAGCTCTCAGTGAATGACCACCAGTGGAGGTTGGATGAAAATAATCCCACTCACTAGCTATAGAAAACGTAAGCCACATAGGCATAACTTTAACAAAAACGTGCTGGAACTCCGGAGAAAACTAACACTGCCATGGCGCACTAAGAAGACCTTCCTGAGTGGGAGGACTCAATACTTTAAAGTTAGTTCCACAGCCAAGAGAAATCACAATTCTAGTAGATTCACACCTTTAAAAAGCATTGAAGCTGGGGGCTGGAGAGATGGCTCAGAGGTTAAGAGCACTGGCTGCTCTCTTGAGTTCAATTCCCAGCAATCACATGGTGGCTCACAGCCATCTGTAATGAGATCTGGCGCCCTCTTCTGGCCTGCAGGCATACAGACAGAATATTGTATACATAATAAATAATTTAAAAAAAAAAAAGTATTGATCCCAGCAGTTGGGAGGCAGAGGCAGGTGGATCTTTGTGAGTTTGAGGACAGCCTGGTCTGTAAAGTAAGTTCCATGATAGCCAGGGCTATTACATAGAGAAACCCTGTCTCAAAACATCTCCCCAAAAAATATCTGATCAAATTATTTTAAATTTCCCATTAGAACAAATTTGTGATAGTGCAGTATGTCCTTAATTCCTAAGGCAGGTGGGATCTCTGAGTTCTAGGCCAGTCTGGTTTGTATATTGAGTCCCAAGTCAGTTGGGGCTACATAGTGAGACTATCTTTATAAGTTTATAAGGATGTGTCCAGAGAAATATCTAACAGGAAGCAATAATAAGGATTTTACCTAAGTTTTTAAACCTCTGTGTGTGTGTGTGTGTGTGTGTGTGTGTGTGTGTGTGTGTGTCTTTTGTAAGGTGGTGTAGGCATCTGTCCTGTTCCTCTAGTACGCTCTCTTCCAACCCTTCAAAAGAGAAAGAAACACCTGTTCGGCATTTCAGGTAAGTTAATATAGTAAAAATCCTGTGTGTTTGATCTTGATATCAGAGCAGATAGATGATCACAGGCTAGTCTGGGTCAAAATAGACATCAAATGCTGATCCCTAAAACGCTTCCACAGGTCCCTCCCTGCAGAGGGTGTGAGGTCTTTGTGTCACATATAGGGAAACGGGGAATGTTAATCATTAGGCTTGCCTATTAGACAGAAGGGATATGTATACCTATTGTCCATCCAGAAGATTGGGAGTGGATGTTGTTTTAGTCCGGTGACCACACTTGATCCTAGGCCCTTAAGCTATAGAACCCATCTCACGACAGAGGCCACTTGTACTTTGCAAAACAGTTTGGATGTAGTGATGTCTTCCACATCATTGTGCACATGGAACTGCTGCAGCTGTTAGCAGGAAACTTTGAACAGTGCCAGCTAACTAGGTTGTGCTGGCCCAGATTTCCCTCTTGCCTCTCAGACTGTCTCTCTGCTGCGTTAGCCTTTGGAGGGACCCACACGCCCCGTGTGCAGAGTTGGTACTCCTTCTCCATGCCCCCCCATCCCTCAGCACACAGAGGCACTACTCCACATGCTCTCTGGGAAAGGGCACTGAGAAGACTCCCAGAGCCTGGGACTCGGGGAGAACATACGTGTACCTTGAAGTCAGACTATCATGAGTTCCTGGCCTTCCTTCCAGTGACCTGACCATCTTCCATGTTGATAGCCATTTTCAGAAGCCTGTGAACAAAGGTCACTCCCTTGTTAGGGAGATGGGCCGCAGACACTTGATTCCTTCCACTTGTGTTCTACATTAAATTACTCATGGGTTTTCCTTGTCTAGGTATGAACTCTGAGATAGATGCATAAAAGATGCTCAAAAGTGCTTAACAAGAGAGGAGGAGCCTAGCCTTGCCCACAGGCCAGAAGAGGGCACCAGACCCCATTACAGATGTCTGTGAGCCACCATGTGGTTGCTGGAAATTGAACTCAGGACTTTTGGAAGAGCAGGCAATGCTTAACCTCTGAGCCATCTCTCCAGCCCCTTGTTAATTTATTTTTAAGAGAGGCTTTTCCACACCAGCAAGATGGCTCATTTGATAAAAGCACTTGTGAGCAAGTCTGGTCCCAAATTCAATTTCCAGAACCTGTGTAAAGAAAGATAGAAAGGAAACCCCTCTCCACAGAGTTGACCTCTGCATCTGCACCACGGCACACATCCTCCCATCACACACATCCAATAGTGCACATTTTAAAGTGCTAGGATCTTCACTGGCAGAGAGCAGGTCTGTTGTCACTGTCCAATCACGCTTGACCAGCCTTTGCAGAGTCCCACGGCCTGGCTGAGAAGAGGGGCAAGCGGCAACAACTCTCCACAGTTCCTGCTAACTGGGGCACATGTTAGTGAGTTCCTGAGACATCTAGAGCCTCCTTTAAACCCAGAGTCCCAAGGCATTAAAGCTGCTTATTTGAGAGGTTATGGGTTTATATTTCGGAGGCTTTTCCAGCCCCCGTTCACCAAGGGATCATGAGCTGACCCTCGAACTGGAAAGAACATGGAGTCATGGTGGGTTTCCACCAACCCAGGCTGACTTAATAGCATTCATAACCATTACATGAGCTTCAAAGTTAGGGGACTCTCTCAGACTGTGAGAGCCCTACTGGACTGTGCTTGCTGCTACCCAGGCTCTCCCATTGGTCCCGCAACAAGCTCCTACACACAATGCAAATAAAGTCATTGCCACTTCTTAGGGACCTGCTGTGTGCCAGGTACTATAGCAGATTGCCTTCCTAAGTTCAGTTCTCCCATTAGCTGGCTGAGCCATGCCACACCTCAGAGGAGCAGCAGCAGCCCAGGCATCCTGACCTTGACATTGCTGCTGTACCTTGTGTGAGAACTCACTTGAAGTGACCAACATGGGGAAATTCCCATTTTATAAATGGAAGTCCAAGTCCTAGGTCAGACTCAGGGTCTGACCAGAATCCCCCTGTACTCGCCAGAGTCTAGGTTCCTATGGCCTAGCAGCTCCCCAGAAGATGACAGTCCTCAACTGTGTGGAGCCAGGGTCACAGTCATCTATGGAAGGATTAGCCTGGAAATGACCTCATTTCCACACCGACCCTGTCTCCACACGACACCAGGGCTGTGGCCTCTGCCTTTGTAGCTGCAGAGTGTCCTGGCTGTTCTGTGGAGTCTGAAGAGGATCAAAGGAGGCTGGCCCAGTGCAGTGGCTTGAAAGCATCACCTAGAGACACCAGCCCCCAGGCATGTTATTGATAGGGGCAGCACTCAGAGGAAAGCCAGGTTTCTTTGCTTTTGAAAGTTTGAAGGTAAATGTTAGAGAAGGAGCCAGCTGTGCCCTTCATTCCCTGTGGCTTAGTTGGCTTTAATTCAGAAGCTCTGAAAGCAAAGAGTGAAATTTAG